CTCCCTGTTATGTCTTGGAAACCTTACAAACAAACCTGTGAGATTAGTCTATCTTCTTTATAGATGACTCAACAAAGATTAGTCATTTTACCAAGGTCACACAGCTGCCAGATGTCGTGACCTGTTCTTTTGGACTCCAGCACCTGCTCTTTAAATTATCACTCTACATTCATTACTGCTAAGGAATTGGAGCTTGGAATCGGTGGAAGCACTTAGGAGGTGACAATAATCTAGAAAGTGAGGCAAAGTTCAAGAGAAGAGAGAATTCTTTGAAATGAAAAGGCAACAGAGTGCTAGCGGGAAGTTAGGATGTACTTCCTAGTTATATAATGAGGGACGGGGAGAAAAAGAGTTTCAGATCTATTGTTTTTGGCATAGAAATGAATATAGTAGAGGTACAGAAGATGCACTTTTGGGGAATAAGATCACGAGTTTGAGGTTCTGAAGGGACATCCAGATTGAGATATTCAGTAGAAAGCAGGAAATAAATATGTGAAGCAGAGCCGGAGTAGTCTGGGCAGAAGGTAGAGGTTTAGTAGAGTTTTGAGCATGAAGAGGTAGCAGAAGCCAGGGGGAGCTGGATTACAGAGAAGGAGGTAAAGTTGGGGTGACGGATGGTTGCGTGGGAGAAAAGGAAGGGTCGGAGTATTAGATGTCCTGCTGCAGTCAGAGAACTGAGGTAGCATACTCGTCAATTATTGTAAATAAGTGAGGGAACTGGAAGAATAGAGGAATGTAGTCCTAGAGAAAAATACTGCAGTTTAGATTCCAGAGGTAGAATCAGTTTTGTAGAAGGTCTAAGCAATGGGAGCAGTATGCCAGGATAGGGTATGGAGTTTGGTTGTGGAAGTCAAGAAGGCCAGATTTTTTTTTTTTCAACGTTTTTTATTTATTTTTGGGACAGAGAGAGGCAGAGCATGAACGGGGGAGGGGCAGAGAGAGAGGGAGACACAGAATCGGAAACAGGCTCCAGGCTCCGAGCCATCAGCCCAGAGCCCGACGCGGGGCTCGAACTCCCGGACCGCGAGATTGTGACCTGGCTGAAGTCGGACGCTTAACCGACTGCGCCACCCAGGCGCCCCAAGAAGGCCAGATTTTTATATGGGTTGTCTACATAGATGTTGAAAATCAATCACGATGAAGTAGGAGTTTGTACAAAAAGAAAGACTGAACCATAACTCCCAAACTTCAGTCAGAAAGTGAGAATGAGGGCTGCATGTGACTCTTGACCTTGGGGTCATAGAGTTCAAGCCCCACTTTGGGGGTACAGTTTACTCAAAACAAAGAGTGACCACAGATGATTGCAGCAACCTAGGAAGGGTGTGTGTGTGTGTGTGGAAATATATAGTATATATATACTTGTATTTATATTTATAGGTGCATAACAGGAACTTCAAAAAAGGAAAGGGCTTTTCCCCTTCAGGGGGAAAGTAATGGCCAAAAGTCACAGTGTAAACTGTGTGAATTCATTCTGTATCTCTGAATTCAGCAGAATGGTGGATTTGGGAGGACAGCATCCACTTTAAAGGAATGCTGTAGAAATAGTGTTCTCAGGGGGAAAACCAGATTTCAGTTAAAGGAAGGAAGTAGGAGGTAAATATCTGTGAGAGCTTGAGAATGAAGAGTTTCCGGTAAGGCGGATTCTCAGCAGCAATGCAAAGCCTTGGGAAGAGAGTCTTTCTAGACAGTGAAAATCAAGAGGAAGGAGGCACACTCTTCTGGATATTACCTATAAGGAGATAGTGACTAGAGGGTCTTGATTTTTGTTTTTTTTTCGTAATTGAGTTACAATATTATTAGTTTCAAGTGAACTGCAATAATCATATGTATATAGTGAGAAGCGATCACCGTAGTAAGTGTAATTAATATCGGTTCCCCTACAAAGCTGCAGAAAAAATTTGTTTGCTTGTGATAAGGAGGCTTGCATTCTTATTGGAGGCTTAAAGTGACAAGAATAACAGAACTGGTAAAAATTGACAATCTTTGCAGTTTATGCCTGATCAGCTAAGACTTTCCCGTTAGAATCAGAAACTCGATGAAGTTACAGTCTTTGTTAGGATTTAAATTATATGCTTCTGAGATACTATTGGATTTTCATTGAGATAGCCAAATGGGTTGTGAAAATTAAGTTGTAACACACCTTCTCCTGGCTAGTTTAATCTAGAGAAAATGAGAATATGATTATCTGGAAATGAAAATGGGTTAATTAATACTTAAGTGGTTAGATGTAAAAAGCAAACCTTTCTTATTCCTTCAGTTTTTCTTGACCACTCACTTAGATGTATTCTCTATAATCTTGGCTTTTTGCTGAATTTCTTTGATGGGTACTGAAACACACTGGCACCTTGAAGACAGTGGGTAACCAAAAACAGGAATGTTTTGTTTTGCTTTCTTTCCTTGGCTGTTACTTTTTAAAGAGTTACGCAAATGGGAATGACTTGTTCTGTTTTATGATAACTCTAGCCTTAAGTTTGTAAGACCAATCTTCTCAAAAAGTTACTACCCTATTTACTAAGTTGCTTTTTCTGATCCCACATAACATCCTCACTCCTTTCACCCCCCAACTCCAAAGTTGGAATGGTGTCTCAATTCAGTGCACTCTGTTGTTTTCTTATGTCTTAAGTTGGCTCTATGTTGTGTAGGAGGCATTCTTGTACTTACCAACCCCCATAAACATTTTGAGGGCAAGATGTGTATCAGATTCAAGATTTCCAGGTTTCTGGCAAGTTGTTGACTTAGTCAAGTGGCCTCTCCTAATTATCTCCTCCTTGAACCATTTTGTTCTCCTTCTCTCTGGTCCGTGTTGACCACTTCCCTCCAAAGCTGTGACGACTCCCTGGCTCCATGTGCAGCCATTTGGCTTGTTTTCCATATCTAACCGTAACTTCCCTTCCCTGTATGATTTTTCTTTTCTCTGCTCTCATTTAAATTTCCCCCCATGAATTTCAGTGCACCGTGCTAAGACTTGAGCTCCTACTATTTTCTTCCTCACAGAGATTATTTATGATGGATGTTTCATTCATATTTATTAAGAGCCTACATATACCTGAAATCTCAGTTGCCTTACAGCATGTGATTTTTATCGTTAGACTAATTCAACTTGGTAAATCCGCAATATGGAGGAATTATTTTCCTAATGGTGCCACATTTCTTTTTGTCACCCTAATAACTGAATTTAGGACTTCATTAAACAGAGCAACGATTTAAAACACAACAATAAAAACTAAAAGTTTAAGTAACTTTTAGATTAATGCAGATGTTTTGTATTGGTTACAGTTATAAGTTGACACAATAATTGGCTTTCAGGTAAGTTGTAGAGAAGTGGCATTAATACTGCTCTGCCCAAAGTCGCTCTTGAGTCTGGGGTTTGCAGTTTGTCCTAGAGAAACTGAGGTTTCAGAGAAAACCAAACCAAAACCCAACTTTTAAAACTTTTAAGAATGAAAATGTACGTGTGATGAATGTTTAGGTTTTGTTGGAAGATTATTTTAGGTCACATACTGTTTCTTTCTAACGTACTTAGAAGGAAAACCAAAACTTTTTCAATATGGGATTTAAGCTAATTGAGGCAAGGACTTTTAATTTTGGTGATACTTTTTTGGATAGGACAATTTCAACTAGGGTTTACATCTGTATTGTTATTTTATTAGCTGCTGACCCTCTCCTCATTTTGTGGGTGTGGCTGGGAGTTAGGCCGTGGTTGCTATTGGCTGTAGCTGAAAGTATCAGAAGTTAACGTTTCCTCTGGTGTCCTTGTTTCTGTCTCTCCTGTGGTTTTTTGAGTGTCCTTAGAGACCCTTTTTGTTCAATAATCTGAACTCAGCTATTTTTTCCATTGTAATCTCTTACGGTGTGCATGTGTAAACCCCTGTGGATGTGATGGTAGCATTTGGAGGGAAAAGAAGCATTCCATAATGCTATGATTAGTTCTCAGTCTTTCAGTGAGGTCATGACCTCCACAAGTGCATCTCACCTCTTCCTGAGGTGAGACAGGAAGGCTAGAGGAGACTGGAGTTCGGGATTCCTGTTCTCCCATGTCAGTTAGGTGCTGGTAAAAGCCACGTTGGTTGAGCACTGCTAAAGTAGTCTTCCTGGAGGACAGGCGCTTGGTGACAGAATGCTCTGGGTGTATTTCACTCTCATACTGAGGGGAACACAAGAAGAGTTTCTCCAGTCTTCACCCTGACACCCTCGTGGGGCTCCCAGGGTAAAGCTCATGAACCCATGGCAGTGATGGCCCCCAGTGCTGTGTCCCTGGGAGCTTTTGTCTGCAAGCTAGTTCGCATTCACATCTCTAGCAATTACACATCTTACCCTTAAGTTTTCTTGCCCTGCCGGCTACAGCCATGGTTTCTGTGTTCAGGAAGCTGTGATTCTCTGATTTCACCTCTCTCTCTAGTTGTCAGGGTGGCAGTTGGCCATATGACCTCAATTCTCTGATAAAATAAAGACTATTTTTGATTTTCAGTTTGTGCATCTTTTCTCTTGTAAGGAGGGACTGATGGCTCCAGGCTCTTGACATGTTGGACTGGGAACTGGAAGTCCTGTCTCTTCCCATGTGGGATACTTCTTTTGCTTTTTGTATACCAAGGTTCACAGAGTAGCCCTCAGTGTTACTGAGTTCAGATTCATTGTGGTTCTCAGAGTGTTTCTTCCTGTGACTGGATTGATATTTCTTTCAATAAAAGTTTCCACAGGCCTTTATACAGTTCATCTTTCAGGTGCTTCTATCTACAGACAACTCGCTAAGCTCTGGAGCACATGTGCATGGACATCTGAAGAACATCTTCAAATTTTGGCAGCTTTCTTCTTTGGGGAGTGATGCCAAATTTGTGTTATATAGTAGTAACACAGTTTAAATCTCATTTAATCCACTTTTACTTTGATATTTCCTGATACTTATCTGTTATCCTATTAATATGAAGTATCTAGCCAAAAAACTTTGTGTTTCTTATTCTAGTATTTTCTTGTATTTACTAACTCAGAAAACTTCCTTTCAGTCCCGTAGTGTGGATAAGCAACATGCTGTAATCAATTACGACACTTCTACAGATGAACATTTGGTGAAAGATTTGGGCAGCCTAAATGGGGTAAGTGAAGATTTTCTCTTTTGCTTTATTTGAATATTTTTTTAATATTGTAAGTAAACAGATCAGGTTACAGTTGCTATTTGTGTTATATTTCCTTCTCTTTAGTTTGCATTTTACTTTCTTTCTGGGGTTTTTTTTTGTTTTTGTTTTTGTTTTTTTTTTTTTGCGTGCATGCGCAAGTTGGGGAGGAGCAGAGAGAGAGAGAGGGAGACACAGAATCCAAAGCAAGCTCCAGGCTCTGAGCTGTCAGCACAGAGCCCGACACAGGGCTTGAACCCACAAACTGCGAGATCATGACCTGAGCCACACGAAGTTGGACACTTAACCAACTGAGCCACCCAGGCACCCGGGTTTGCATTTTACTTCTAAAGGCTTATTAGGTACGTGGCACTTTGGGGACCATACAGTAGAATATGGAATGAGCCCATGTTCCCAAGAAACTGTATAGGCAGTAAATACAGGAATGCAGACGGTTGCTGGTTCTTATTTTCCATAATGGTTAAAAAAGACTTCTTTAAGGAGATGAAATGAAATTTGACCTCACCGGATGGTTTGAATTTATATGTGGGAGAATAGTGGAAAGCCATGGCAGTAAGTATGAAAAAAAGGACTCTTGGGAGCCCAAGAAGTATAGGTTAACTTAGAAGATAAAGGTGAAAACATAGTTTGATGCCAGCTGCTGGAGAACTTTCTGTGCTAGAGTAAAAAAGACAGGAAACACATCCATTAACCTTAAACATGTGACTTTGTGATCTAAACACCAGTATTCATTATTGCTTTTCTGTATTCCTGCTTTGAAGATATTTTTGTGTTACTGCAGTGAGTTTTTTTTCCTAATTCTTCATTTGGTCTTTCCACATTGTTGGAACATAACTAGCCACAGACTAAGAGAATGCTGAAGTATTGAATAATTTCTTATTTTTTAATTTTCTAATAGCCTTGGTAATATAAGCTGATGCAGTATTTGTCTACGTCTGTGCTGTTGAAATTACTAAAATGAATTTAACAGAAACTAAATGTATCCCCACTGCTTCCAACTGCCACTGCTTTTTGAAATATACATTAAACTTTATGCAGATTTTGGGATGAGCACTGGGTGTTGTATGGAAACCAATTTGACAATAAACTTCATATATTGAAAAAAAAATAAACTTTATGCAGAAATTGAACAATTATAGTGAAACATTGTTTTCTTGTTCTAAGTTGCCCTGGTACTGAAGGACTGATGTTTAATCTTTGAGATACTTCGTTTTTCTATTAGTTTTATTCTAGCCTTTATTTGTTTCTCATGGCACACAGAATTAAGTCTTAATTCAGGGTTGAACCAAAATCCCTCACATTTGACACTTTTCCAGATTCCTGCTCCCTTGGGCTTTCCCTTTGTCCTGCCTCCCGAATAGTAGTTCTGCTGCTGTCCGGTCTCCTCCTCCGAATACTTTGTTAGATTTTCTTCAACCTAGTAGTTCTCCCATCTGCCTTGTCATTTAGAAAAGTTGTACTTCTAAATTTATATGAGTCAAGCCCAGATTCCACTTCTTCCTGAAGGGAAGGAACAAAGGAAAGGTATTTAGGAATATTAACTTGCTGACATCATTAATAACACGTGGAGCAGATAAAGCAGAAACAGAGCAGACTAGGTAGAAACCGTTCTAACGTGAGACAGGTAAGTAAGCTACTGTGATTCCCAGCTCCTAGTTGCAGAACTTCTTTTGTCCTTCTCCACATCTGTAAGCCTTTGTTTTAATCTTGATTTGGGGTGCTTTCTCTGCTTTGTATTACATCTTCTTTTACTTCTCTGTCACGGTGTTGAGTCATGAGCTCCTGAACAGTCATGAACGTTTGCTCAGGAGTCTGCACGGTGCACGAATACAGTCAGTCTTTTTTTGATGAAATTGAATTTATTTTCTCTATTAAGGAATTTATGGAGAAAAATTTTAACTTCTGTATGTGGACTATTTTAACAATGTTATGTTCTGGTTTTAAGCCAGAAAGATTGATCTTTACCACAGTGCTGTGCGTAGATGTCTTTACATTATTACCTTGGAAAATAATAAGTGAGAATTACATCACAGTGTTTTATTCTTTTAAAAGACTGTGATCAAATATAAAAATTACTTGTTTTTCATTATAAAAAGAAGTCAGGTGAAGTACTTCTAAGTTTCTCTAGGTTGACCTTTCTTCATAATTCAATTATACACAGTAATTCTGTGGAAGATAATAACTCATAGGGGGCAACATTTGCATTTTGAACTTGAAATCAGTACCTAGATTTGAATGTCAGTCTGTAATTTACCAGTCCTAAACACAGGGACAATCACTTTCTGAAATTTGGTTTCCTCATACATCTTCATATTTGTGAGTGTGAGGACTCACAAGTTCAGTTCCCTTGTTTTAGCTTTCAGATAATGAAATGGAAATTCCTGCTCAGTAGTACTGGCGTGGGGATGCAGCCTGACGACAGTACGTGTGAGTTTGTGCCTGTTACGGAACTTGGGAGCATCCGTCACACAAGCGATAACTGTGCTCTGACCTAGATGGCAGCCTAGAGAATACACCAGAACAGAGTTGTGAACCACCAGCTGCCATGCGCTTAATCCATAAGGAGACCGTTTGCTCTTCATATTCATATAACTCTAGAAATTTGAGCATGAGGTTAACAGCAGTAATTTTAGAAGTCAGGGGACACGATGTAGTGGTTATGAGCCCCACTTGAATTCTTACCAGTGACGTAACTGTAGACGGGTTACTTAATTTTTCTGTTCCTCAACTTTTTTAATGTTTGTAGCAAAATGGCGTTTCTCTCAGGTTGTACCAAAGCTATAAATAAGTTCATAATTGTAAATGATTAGAACAGTACGTGGTGAGCATTCAGTAAGGGCTGGCGGTGGTGGTGTGGCAAGCAAAGCAGTTAAAATGAGTTCAGCACCCTGGAGCCTACATGCTTTCCAATCAATCCACTGCCTTATTTTTTTTAAAAGCACGTACCAGCTAACCCCAACTTATAAATAACTCTAAACTGTGACCACTTTCACTCCTCCCTTTCATCCTACCCTAAAAGAACACTCCCAGGGGACCTAGATTTATACTTGATGTTATTGCTACCAAAATGAGATTGCTGTGCCTAAGGAAGCTGGAACGGGTTTTGTTGCTGATGTTATGGTGGCCTGTTTCCCCGCAAGCCCCTGGAAGCTTCCCCTGTGAGAACCCTTATTTGCCTTCACTTCTTCCTGCCTCCCTCTCCCACTGGGGCACTTGCCCCTCTGAGAGCCACTGCGGCCTCTGCCATGTGCCTCCCATGGCATTCTACCTCTGGCTTTTGTTCTAGGCTGCCCCCTCGACTCCCTGTGTTCTAGCTTCTGCTGGATCCCCTTTTCGCACTGGAGTTTCTACCAGCATCAGACCACAGTGGCGTAGAGTGGAGAGAGTATGCAGAGGAGAGGGAAAAAAGAGATGACTTTTGTTTCTGGCAGTGTGATTGGGGTGGTTACGCCCCTGGCCGCTCACTCTGTTCAGATTTCCCAGAGCGTTAATACAATACACAGTGGTTATGTGGTTTTATGCAATCAATTATGCAATTTCGTTGTATGTCAAATAAATAGATGTTTTTCTAGTTTGGTTTGCTTCTATGAGCTAGTGGTTTGGAAGAGGGAGTTTGAAGAGCTGTCCTGGCTCGGGCACCCATACTTCCTTGAGTTGGAGAGAATGTGGGATTTGTAGTTCACAGACCTCAGTGTGAATCCCAGCTCTTACTCCACTTATGAACTCAGATGTTTGTCAATTCATTCTCTGTGCCTCCTTGTTGTTGTCTGTTCCTCCTACAAGGCACAAGTGTGATCAAATGGTGTTGAGGTAAGGAATCAATCCTATTTTTCCCCATGTTTGACTTACTAAAATGCTCCATAATTGATTTACTTAAATGATTTTTTTTTTTTTTTTTTTTTTTTTTTTTGCCTGTTGCTCTTTGAAATTTTCTCTCCTCCTTGTGTAATTTCAGACCTTCAGGAGACTTTTTCCCTTCAGATGTTTTCACTTGCATTTTTGTAAGCTGAAACTTTGCGTTTGGCTCATATTTCCTAAGCCTTTTTAGACCTTAGGGAATATTTCTGCCATAAATGCCAGCATATTAAAATTGTATGTTTCTCGTTCTGCAAGTACCTACCTAGTATGTATGTTAAACACACAGTAGGTGCTTAATAATTAAGAGAATTGAGCTGTCTTAAGCTTTGCGTGGATCTGATTGGTCATGTTAAGCCTTTTGAGTAAAATGGTTGTTTAAGTTGAAACAATTTTAAGTAAAACCGGCTTAGAAGTGTGGCATTCCTTGTACATCAAGTATGTAATTGCTTGTCTTCTGCATACTAAACATCAGTGAATTAATGTTTTCTTTTATTCTTTTCTTTTCCATCATTTGAAAAAGCTCTTCTGTTTTGTAACTCTACATAGAATATTTTGTTAAACTCAAGGTTTAACTTTTTTTTTTTAATGTTCATTTTTGAGGGAGACAGAGAGAACGTGAGTGGGGGAGGGGCAGAGAGAGAGGGAGACACAGAATCTGAAGCAGACTCCAGGCTCCGAGCTGTCAGCACAGAGCCCTACGTGGGACTTGAACTCACGAACCATGAGAATCATGACCTGAGCCAAAGTCAGACACTTAACTGAATGAGCTACCCAGGTGCCTGCCTCAGGGTGTAACTTTTAAAACACTGTAAAATGTTCATTTTGGAAATGAACATGAAATTAAAGCTTATAAATGCCTGTATTCAAAATTTTCTTTATATTAACATTTTAATCTTTCTGTGAAGGATGTTGGAAGCTTATTTTCTAGGATTACTCATGCATCATACTAAGGTGTGATCTCAAGTTTTAGCAGTATGCCACTGTCTTCATATATCTGTGCTTGAAATTAAGACTATAACTTCTAATTTTTTCTATAGATTTATAAATTGGTATTCTGTGACCTATTACAAAGTGCTAGTCGTGCATAGGAATTTGAGCATATGACCGTAATCACATAATTTCCTGTAATATTTTACTGTATGTCACTTAGGACCCTTCTGAACTTCCTCACCATGGAGGGAGCTTTCCCAGATAAGGTATTATGGCCATCTCAAATCCAATAAAATAGAAGATTTTAAAAAATGGAATTCACTAGGAAAAAAGTAATTTTTAACGTTTCAGCTTATCAGAGGAAAACTTTTGGGTATTTATATGATATCTGCACTCTGGGCAGTTAAGTATAACATTGTTCTGTGTTCTGTGAATCTAGCAAATTCCAATTTAACTTCCAACGTGCCAGGAAAAATAGTCATCACCATTTGCCATCTGTGTCTAGTTGACTCTTTGTCTTTTTACAAATAATTTGCGGAAGTAAGGATAAAAGGATAATGAAAAACAACTTGAAATTTTAAGTAAAAATTAGTCATGACAAGCTCATATTTTTATTCCATGTTTTTCTGGTTTGAAAGGTACATAATACACAAAATGGGTATTGTTCATCAGTTTTCAAGGGAGACCTGGGATATATATCCGTTTTGTAAATGTTGCTTTTCAAATTTCAAGTACATATCCAGCTGGTTCTAGCTTATCATTATCTCTAGTTCTTCTTGCATTGTATTGTCAAAATGCATTATTTTTAAGACTTTGATAGCTTATAGTTTTGTTAAGATGATAGCTTTCTTCTATTATTGCAAAACATTTCTCAGTTTTAGATTTGTTAACAGAAGGTTAATTTATTTCTTTTTACATCATCTTTGCTTCTAGTTACCTGATAGATACCTGCCTTGGGCATTTATCCACTTAGAAACTAAATCAAATAAGTGTTGGAAAACATCAAAAGATGAAAGAATGCTGTGAAAATGTGAAATACAGAATTGTTCAAGTTCTTATTGAAAAATATTTAATTATTTGTTGAAATGGTACTATTTTGGATATATGGGTTGGATTAAAATATAGCATTAAAATTAATCTCACCTTTTATATTAACTTTTTTAATACAGCTACTGGAAAATTTAATAGTATATGTTTGGCTTGCATTTGGGGCTTGCACTATATTTCTGTTGGATAGCAATGTTCTGGGCAATTCCATTTTCTTCTGTTTTCTTATTATGTTGGTCATTTTCAGCATAGTTAGAAATAATTGATGAGTAATGATAAAATAATGATGTGAAATAGCACAGTGTTTCTTTTTTAAAAAAAATTTTTTTTAACGTTTATTTATTTTTGAGACAGAGAAAGACAGAGCATGAACGGGGGAGGGGCAGAGAGAGGGAGACACAGAATCAGAAGCAGGCTCCAGGCTCTGAGCCATCAGCCCAGGGCCTGATGCGGGGCTCAAACTCACGGACCGCGAGATCGTGACCTGAGCTGAAGTCGGACGCCCAACCAACTGAGCCACCTAGGCGCCCCTAGCACAGTGTTTCAAAAAAAAAAGGAAAAATAAGATCAGTAAGATCCCATAATGTATCTTAGAGTCATAAAAAGGTCTAAAAGACTCATATGGCAATTGTGAAATAGAATAGCAGTTTTATTCCCTTTTTTTTTTTAAGTTTATTTCTTTTTTTTTGAGAGAGAGAGAGGAGAGGGCATGTGCTTGTGAGCAGGGGAAAGGTTAGAGAAGAAAGAGGGAGAGAGAGAGAATCTCAAGCAGGTCCAGAGACCAATGTGGGGCTTGAACCCATGAACCGTGAGATCACGACCAGAGCTGAAACCAGGAGTCAGACGCTCAACTGACTGAGCCACCAGGTGCCCCAGTATTTCATTACTTTTATTCTTAGAATTCTTCTAAAGAACAAAAAGAAAATTTACTTTAAAAAATGGAATAGGGACACCTGGGTGGCTCAGTCAGTTGAGCATCTGACTCTTGGTTTTGGTTCAGGTCATGATCCCACTGTTTTGAGTTCGAGCCCTGCATCAAGCTACTGATTGGGATTCTCTCTCTCTCTGCCCCTCCCCCACTCGCTCGAGCTCTCTCTCAAAATAAATAAATTTTTTAAAAAAGTAATGAAATATCAGACCTCACAAATAATTAGAATTGTCCGAAAAAAGCTAAAATTGAGTCCCCTGCATCCTGATGATATATCAAAAGTTAAGTATTTTACAATTTGCCAGCTTCACATTAGGAGCTTTTCTTAGCATCATTTTTAAATGCCTATATTTGTCTTGGCAGCATGATGGACTTAGAGGAGGTACAGCCTGGTTCTTTGTGTGTTCAATTATTAATAAAAGACTTAGTATGAAAATCATTTATCAGCCTATAAGATGCATGGCACATTTTGTAATACACAAGCTGTGTTAGCCACCATAGCTAATGTATTTTTAAGTATAAGGTTTGAGTGTTTGTTTGTCTGAAATGTAATAATCAATACTTCATATATAACCTAAGATCTTTTTCTCTCTTTGTAGACTTTTGTGAATGATGTAAGGATTCCAGAACAGACTTATATCACCTTGAAACTTGAAGATAAGCTGAGATTTGGATATGATATCCTTATATGATTTTGTGCATTTATTGAATTTATTCATAAAGCTTTCTGATGTACATTAACATTTCTTGATCTAAGAATTTTCAGTAAAGGCATGCTAGAAGTCTCTTTGCCCTCCCATATTAAAATACATGTTTAAAAATAATACATATATTTTCTGGTTGTTATGCCTATTCCTAAAAATAATCCTAGAAAAGTTGATGGACTCAGCTTTTCCCCCATCCCTATAGTTTCAGCAGTGGTATTTACATGTGTAATTTGGGTATCAGAGAATGTAACAAGGAGAGGACAAAGGACTGTTTAATATTAGCCCAGCCCAGGGATTTTGTTGTTGTTTGGATGAGCATGGCACAGATCAGTGTCCCAGGAGGAGTGTAAGAACTTATCCCTACCTTTTTTTCCCATTCGTACTTTTACTCTGTTTTAAGAATTCTGTCTCTATCACTTATTTAACTCAGAGTTTTCAGTATCCTATATCTTCTGAGACCCATACTCCCTGGCTCAGTTCATTATACAGTTAGTGTGTATTTAAAATTCTTTCGTTAAAAATAGGATTCTAGGGGCGCCTGGCTGGCTCATTCAGTAGAGCATGCGACTCTTGATCTCAGAGCTTGAGCCCCACGTTGGTTGTAGAGATTACTTAAAAATAAAATCTTTTAATAAGTAAATAAGTAAGTAACAAAATAGGATTCTAAGAAGTGAGTGGGGACATGACTTTGTCCTCCCTAGGGTATAGTAAAGAACCACTAGTGAAGAAGAATAAAGCATTTCTATTCATATAAGGCAAAAAGCTTTGAAATAAAGGGGACTTACTTTATTTAATTAAATTATACATATTCCACCTTATACTGAATGTTTTTCTTGAGTTTTCATTTTTCAGTTACTACATTTATCTGGACTTTAATACTGAAGAATATATTAAACATTGGCAAGTCAGATGGACTTTTATCACTATACTATAGCAAATGTAGTCTCAGCTACCTGGAGTTGATGCATAGATAAAATAAATGTACTAACACTTTAAAATTGTTCTTAAAGCATAACCAGTTTTGTTTTTTTTTTTTAGATTTAACTTAAAATTTATGAAAAATAGTTTTTAGCACATCATATGAACTTTATACTTGTACAGCAAAGGAACATTGAAAAGTGAAACCATTGAATCTTAGTATTTATGAATTGTATGTTTAAATCCTTTTAAGAATATGAATCACAGAAAATGATTAAGAATTAACATTAAAGCCTTGATCCATGGACCATTTTCCACCAGCATAAAAAGTTTCATCAAACAATAAATGCAAATAAATATATTTTGAATTTAAATACCTCCTTAATCTGATTCAAAACATGAGAAAATAGAAAATCTGAGTTTCAATAAAACTCTATAATGTTTACTTTGACTTTTAAATCAAGAGAAAACTGTTGAGGGGCTCCTGCGTGGGCTCAGTCCGTTGAGCGTCTGACTTCAGCTCGGGTCATGATCTCACAGCTTGTGAGTTTGAGCCCCATGTCAGGCTCTGTGCTGACAGCTCCGAGCCTGGAGCCTGTTTCAGATTCTCCTGCAGCCTGTTTTTTCTCTCTTTGCCCCTCCCTCGCTCGCTTGCTCTCTCCCTCTCTGTCTCAAATAAACATT